TCCAGTGCTTTGGAGATTTAATTGGTAATTTCTATGAGTGCAGTTGTTATGTTTCTTTTTTCCCTGTATCCGTGTTGAGCGTTTTGAAACACGTTTTTCTTCTCCATGAAGTTTATAATTTTTTTCTTGATAAAAATTTAAAAAACCTTTGATAGAGCAGGTAAAATTGAAATGGTTCTGTAGTTGTCACATAGATCCTGGTTGCCTTTTCTTTTGTATATGGGAATTACTTTGGGAAATTTTCATTTTAGTTGGATAATATCCTTTTTTAAGACATTTATTTATAATGATGTTAATTGGCTTGGCCAACTGCTCTGTAAAATCTATTAGGAGTTCTGTGCTAACTTCATAGATACCCATTGTTTTTGTTTGGGTTTTATTTCTAAAAATGTTTTTGGTTTCTTGTTCAGTGCATTTAAAGAAATAACAAGACGCTCCAGTGTCAAGGTTCTGGTTTTAAAGAAATTCGACTGATGTGATTGTGCTAGTCTGTATTTTTGCTGCCGTATTTTCCCTCCACTGGTGAAGAAATTATTTAATTCTGTAGTTATTACATGACACCCTGTATTTAAGAGTATTTTTAATGCATAGATATTTGTTATACATGTAAGATATGTATGTATAATTCGTGTGGTGGAATAATGGCACTTCGAAATATAATTTTAAATGCATCGCAAATGTAGGCTGAGAATAAATTCAGGTGGGTTAACCATGAAACGCAGTGCATTATTTATTATGGTCGTCGTAACGACGCGTCGTAAGCCACAACTCAACGGCTGCTCCAAACACTCGAATGGCTGCCACGCGATACCAACGTGCAGGTTTACCAACTGACAAACACACGAATTTTCCATATAACCATACGTCGATGTAATACCACTTTTATTGCTTTTTTCTAAGGCTTTAATTTTGTCGTCAAATTTAATCAAATGTATTATTCGAAATAAATCATTTACATCTACATACACAAGCTAATGTTATGTGCTCAGTGTTTGTTTAATTATTAAATCAAATATTAGCTCATTAGTACCTACAGCATGGCAATATTTCAAGTATGTTTACGCATTTCACAGATATTCTTAAAAATAAAACATTCTAATAAAATATGTACGACATAGTTAATTTTAAAAATAATTAAATCTATAACTTAAAAAAAAAGAATTTGAAAAACGTACAATAATGTTTAGTAATTTTAAAGCTAACTACTGAGTGTTAGATGTTGAGATCTAATTGAAAAAAGTAAACAAAAAGAAAAGCGAAAAGAATAATTGGTAGGCGGAAATTTTATTATCAGGCCAAGTTCAATTTTTTTTATACTTTTCATTGACAGTTTTTGTAAGCAGTGTATAGTAAAGTTAGATTTAAAATAATAAATTAAAATATAGCATCGTCAAAACAACAGTTTTTCGTCTACATAACGTAAAAGTCTTTTACATTCATTACTATGTACGCAACAATTATTTACCTAACTAGTGCGGAAAGTGATACTTTTTAAGTGCAGAAAAGACACTTTCCGCCCGTGTTGGGTGCAATATTTTTGTAGCAACTTTCCGCACGCTTGTAGAAAATAGCTATTTGTGTATTAAGAGCGCAAAGTGATATATTGTCGCTCTGAGCGAGAAGTTTGACGCGCGACTATCTCGCGAGAGCGGCAATGTCACTTTGTGCTCGAATTACACACAGGATTTTTTTCTACTCCCGGTGGTTTTATAAAAATGTTTGGTAATAATTAATTATTATTAATAACCTCAAATTTGGCTTTTGTGTCAAAAGTCGCAGTGTATACTATCTCCTCATCAATAATTTTTTGTTTAAATGGAAACACTGGTCTTACCAGTAAATTATAAAAAGTAAACCAATTAGACAGCGTTATTAAATAATTTCATGCTCAACGACATTTGTCGTACCTAACTTATTTTCCTCTTTTCCCAAAAAATATTCATTGATAACTGCATCTACAGCTTCTAATTGTGACGTCACTAAAGCCCTCTATAATATTTACTAGAACCCCTTCTAACTTTTTCGAACTAAAATGCCACTCCCCTTTTTGAATATCGGGAACTATCCCCATTTTAGCCCAAAAATCGATAATCAAAATTAAACTATGGTTTAACTGTGGAACAACACAAACATCTATAACCCTAACAACGTTTTTTAAACAACTCCTATACATCACACTTATCATTATTAGCAACGGTACATGAAATATTTGTGCCTGAATCTAACAAATCAAAGAAATCATTACCCAAAATATTAACTTTCATACAACACTGAGAAAAATAGGCGGTTGAAACAACAACAAAAATATTAATTGCACTTTAAATACAGATTATGCACTTTAAATACAAGAAATGTTTTTTGCACGTTTACTTAACCATCTAAAAATGTAAAATTGTATTGTTTAATTGAACAACAAATAACAGTCAAATGAACAAAATGAGAATATTTGCTCTAATCTGCTTATCTGGTTAATTTAACATTCTTGATATTTCGGAGTAATATTTAGAAAATGGTTGTGCTAACATTCTTAAGATGTTAAGGTAAATTTTTTGAAATGTCCAGCTAACCTTTTTATCATATTCATTTAACACCAGTAAAATGTTAAATTAAAATAATTTAGAATTTGCGCTAATGTTCCAAAACGGTTGGGTTAACATTCTGCAAATGTAAAAGTAACATTCAAAATTATGGAATTAATATAAAGAGAAAGAATTGAACCTTCACCTCGCCAGAGTTTTTGTTTTAAGTGCGTTCCACCTACTTCAAATACCGACAGACAGCTGTTTCAACCTATATTGAGGGTCTTATCAGTGTCGGGCAATTTGGTGTAGTGGAAGTTCCACTGTGGAACACACACAAAACAAACCGCTACCTGAGCTTATATACTCCTATCGTAAGCTAACTGAAGCGAGATGTAAGAACATCACGTGATCAACACCGTCTGATGACGTGTTCGAAGCGCCCTTCACGGCAATTTTATGAATGCAAATTTAACATTTTAAATTTTAAAGTAACATTTACAATTTGTTAAATGAACAAACTTAATGTTTTGGATTCAAGAGCAACTAAACGTTAATTTAATAGTTTTTTTAGGTAATCCTAAAAATTTAAGTATTTGATTTAACCAATTCCAGCTATTAAATCAAAATAGGATAAACATTTTAATTCAAAAAATTATTTTTTTTACTCCTATTACGGAATTTGACCGTTCTAATATCACTTTTATCTATGGAATGACATATATTCCGTAAAATGTTACAGAATAAAATATTCTATCATCTGATGACAGAATGAACCCTCGTGGCGACATCTCTGTTTTTAATATCACACAATTAACAAATTTTAGACCAATCCAACCTTACTTTCTTCCAATTAAATTATTTGTCTATGGTATTTTTTGGAAACGTAGAAAAAGTATAGTCTGAAACACGTTTGGAATTGCATATTCCCCTCTCGTGAAACCGTCAAACTCGCCTTCGGCTCGTGTGACAAACTTTGACAAACTCTGACTATTGCTTTGACACCAAAATATAGATTAATCCAATAGGTTTTCAAAAATGACATCTAGGCAAACGTTAACTCGACTACATTATTTTTTTCGGTGAACTATCATCAGCTTGAGACAAAATGAAATCAAGAATTATTTTATGCTTACTAAATTCAGCATTCATAACCAACGATTTCCCAGCAAACAAAGGATGGCCTAGCCTTGTTGCTGCTCCTCGTTTCCCGAATTGCATTTTTGGCAAGTTCTACGAGTGTGGTTAGGTGTTATGCAAGTGAAACATTTAATACCCCCTTGTGCATAACAATGACGAGCCTATTACATTTCCAACATCTATAGATGAGAGAATAAAATACTATTTAAGTTGTATGAATACATTGTTTAATCGTTATGGTCGAGTTGCTGGGCTGCGCAGTTGGAAATAGTTTTACAAAATTGTTGGAGAAACTCGAAGAGGAGTGTGTTAAATTAGAAACGAAACGCTATAGAGTAAAATACTATAAACCACCTTAGCAGTCTCGTCTCATATTCATCAGGTACGAGTTATAATAATAATACAGAAGCGCAGTGTAGGGAAGTAAATATATCTAGTAATGATCGAATTAATTCCTCTTCTATCGTCTTTCTTTAGATGGCCGAGCTCCATGTTATTAACCTTTTTTTTAAATAAAGGAATAACTCAAATAGTAAAAAAAGGATCCTGAAACTAATTTTCCTGTACCTTATTACTGCCTATTCCTTCCCGAGCTAATAAAAGATGCTTCAAAAATGTATAATGATTTTAAACATTGTTTGCCAATTTGGCGCCCTACACGGTTGTCATTTTTTATTTCGTTAATATGCCAGTTTGTATTCGAAAGTTTATATCCTAAAGAAGGCGATAGTCATATATAGGTGATGGAAAGGTGATATTTTGCGAACAGTCACTTACTACCAATACACATATTTACACATAATTACAATAATTGTGTGTGAACACAGTGTAGTAGAAACGGGGGTTGCTCTAAGCTTATTGTCCCATTCAAACTTTAAGGTAAGGTTTTTATAAAATTTGATTCAATTTTTCGATTACTCAGTTCGACTACTATTAAAAAGGTGTACCTCTAAAACTTCGATACAATTAACCGTTTCCGAGATATTCGAGATTACAATACTTGTTCGCATTAAAGAATTAAAGAATTTTTGAATTTTAAAAACTAAAAAAGTCATTCCATGAGCCTGACCGTCACATTAATTTTTTTTCTACACAAAATTACTCTTTATATGCTTTTGCAACGATACTAAAGGTAATTAAAATTATTGATTAAAATATTTTTTTTTATTGCATTTATCCAACCTGATGAAAAATCCTGATAAAATTTTAAAATCCAAGGACTGTTTAAAAGTTTATATTTAGGCCTTATATACAAGAAAGACACAAAAATCTTAATTTCTTAAAGTGTCAATACCAAATTGTCAAATTTAAATCCTAGTAACATGGAAATTATTTATTTTTAATGACACTATAATCATTTGTTCTGTTATAAAATTTATCGTGAATTATCTCTAATTATGGCTTTGCGACTGGGGGTCAAAATTTCTAGTGTGGCGGGTCAATCAGTAAGTACTTTTTTCCTTGTACAAATGAAGATGATAAAAATTTCGCAAATTAATTTTTTTGACAAATATTTGACAAATAAATTACTTTTTAGGTAACTCCAATACGTTTTAGACGACAATTTCAATCTTTGTCGCCAGTGGCTTCTTTTAAAATATCTCCAAATCAAAGAGCAGCGTCAGGCATTGTTCCTGGTAAGTATTTAAATTAAAATTAACAATATAACTGCAAAATATTTAAATTGGTTTTTATTTTAGCAAATAAAAAGTCATCAAAACAAAGTATAACTAAAAATGCAGATAAAAACCAAAAATACAGTACCAAAGATAGAGTAACCAGGGACTTTAATGAATACAATGCCGTTGAACAGTATGAATTAGAAGCGGCAAAACCCCGTGAGAAGATGCATAGGGTGAACAGAGTATACGAATTTATGAGCAAATTGCAACAAAATCAAAACTGGAGGATTTTACCACATTTACAACCCAGCAACTTAAGACCATATGGTTCCACTGATAATATAATATTTCCTGAAAGTTTAAGACAAAGAGATTTAATTAAGTATCCACAAGAGGATGAAGTTTTGGCTGAGGTCGAAGAGGAAATGTCTGAAAAATCTGTCCAACAATATTCCAAAGATGAATTTACTAATAGGCGAGACTATTCCACATTCGAAAAAAAACATAACCACAAAAATGACTGTAGGAAAATGGCTACAAAATCAAAACACATTGAGGAAGAAAATGTTAGTTTGGGTGCGTCTGAAGTTAATAAAGAATCTTTAAATAAGTTTGATTCTGTTTCTGAAGAAACTAAAAGCGAAAAAAACAAAATTTGGCCCTCCTATTCTGATATTTTAAGACATGAAATAAATAAAGATGTTATGACGACTTCTACAAGAAAACTTCATCAAAGTTGCAATCCATTAGGCCCAAGTGCACAAAGGCCAGTACCCCTATCTGAAATGAATGTTGGATTAAATTTAAATGAAGCTATTAAAGAGCCGAAAATTAAATCAACAATCTTAACCGATCCTATTAATGAAGTTGAAATAAGAGAACCTGAGTTAAAGCCTATGGCGATGAAACTTAAAAAAGGAAAAAAACCCAAGGAAAGCTGGGACCAGTACTGTCCAGAAGAAGAAGAGATAATCATTAAAAGGGAGTGTCCAATTATACCAAGGAAACTTCCCAAACTGATTCCAAGGGACTGCCCATGCGTGGAACCTCCTCCGCCCTGTGATGTCCCTCCTTTACCACGACTGGATTTGGAAGTAATAAAATATTATATAAAAATCCTGGTAAAAATTTAACAACATATTTTTAAGGTATGTGAGCCACGTCCGGAGTGCCCTATTCACCCTTGTGAGACGACACCTAGAGCTGATATAGATTGTTGGGAGTACATGGAATCTCCAGAAGTAGATTGTCGAGTAATACCAGTTAAGAGAAAGGGTGAGTGTAACAAGTGCGAAATGAAGCGAAGGAAGGACAAAAATAGGAGCAGCTGCCCATATAGCACATCAGCATTTAAAGGAGACATGCAATCCAAAAGGCAATATTCATCCTTAACTGCAGTTTCCACTGATTACGAAAACGTAACAAAGATTGTACCTGATTTTATCATTCCAATTCCCAGTGTACAAAGGCATGTGGATGAAAATACTCAAATAAATAATGATATCCTTTTCGACAACTTTGCTACGTTTGGCAGAAATTTAAATAATAGTACATCGACACCTGTACTTTTAAATAAACTTGGCAGTATTCAAGCTGATATGATTAGTAGGCAATATTCGACCAACGATGAACGATGCATAAAAAAACCAAAGAAAGATTGTAAATTACCCCCTGCAGACAATTGTAATGCATGCAAACATGGAAAAGAAAAGAAGTGTACTCGTGAATGTCCTACTTTTTGTATGCATGATTGCCCACCAGCAAATCCACGTGGAACCGAGTGTATACCTAGACATGAGGTGTGTTGCGAAAAAGCTCAAACTCCCTATCCCTCATATTCGGAATGTCTTGTGAGTTATTTGGCACCATTTACCAACTTCCCCAACTACAAATGTATTAAATGCCCAAAAAGAGATAACCCAGGATTTTATTACAAAAAATTTAGTACAATGGCCGCACATCATAATGGCGCCAATTCATCTTTATTTTCGTCGCATTGTAAATCAGTAAAAGGTAAAAGGTAATTTTTAGGGTTTTAAATAGATGAAATCAAATTAAAAATTATTTTATATTTTAGAGTTTTCTCCACTCATGTAAGAAAACCCTTGTTAAGTACTCCAGCAAAGTTTAGAAAGTCTGGTATTAGAAACAAACACAAGAAAAAAAATCCTTGCAAATTATGTGTTGATATAAGTTATCCAAACTGTCCTCCAAGATGTAGGTTTACTTGCGATAAGGACCCAATTGATGATAATTGCACAAAACGTAACAGTCCCTACCCGTCGTTTTCTGAATGTGTAATTGAAGAACTTGACGAATATATATCTGAATGTCCTTACAACCTGGAAGCTACTCATAGACTGCAACCCAAGTATGAGATGTTGTCAAAAATGGCATATTTAATTAAACACTTACCTGCCCCTGGATTTAAACCTTTTGATCCCCTGAAGGAAGAAAAGTGTATTCGTTCTAAATTGTGTATAAAAAATGATGGTGTTTCGCAATGCTGCAACGATTTCGGAAAACCACATGCAGCTTTAAAAAACAAAGATTTCTTTGAGCCAAACGACAGAACTCAATGCAAATTTTTAACCAATAAACAGGAAAAACAAGACTCAAGAAAAATTAAAAGAAAATACCACACAAAAACTCTAAACGTAAGGAATAAATCATTTTTTATTTTTTTATTTTTTAATTTAGTTTTCTTTGTTATAGACAGACGAACAGCAGAACTTTCCTTAACTTTGCTCTCACAACAACTCTTTTCCATCCACATTTTCGGCTCTTTAGTTCAACATCAAATAAAAATTGCAAATCTTGTCCAAAATTTGACTTAGAAAATTGTATACGTTGCGAAGATAAAAAAAAATCAAAATTACAATGCTCGAAACGGATAAGTCCATATCCATCGTTTTCCGAAATTAATCAATCTGACTGTGAGCCGGAAGTTATAACCGAATGTCCTGATGGAGACTACCAAGATAAACGAGAGAAAAAAATTAAATCACAGTTTAATATTCCTGGTCTTAATGAATATATGTCATTAAAAAATAAATCAAATTGTAATAAACAACCTTCATTATGTTCACACACCAATCAAGAACCAGAAGAACCTCAAGCCTGTCAGGCAGAGTCTTTGGATGAAAGTTGTATAAATTTACAAAGGATATCTCCACCACCCCCTGGTAAATTTACATTTCAGCAATTGTGGTGCAACATTAAGAACTACTTTAAAGCTAGAGATTGTCCAAGTCCTGAAGAGTTTAAAAGAATGAGATTAAGGGAAGTTGCAGAAAAAGCGGCTAGAGATGCAGGGTTGTGTCTTTGCGATCCAAAAGAGTTAAAAACTGAAAAAAAGGAGGAACCGTTACCAAAGATTATAACGCCGGACTGTTGTGTTCAAAAAAACGAACAAGAATAATGCATGTAATGAGTAATGAAATTAACACATAACAAATAAACCAGCTGGAGTTCTTAATTAAGAATTTTCTAGTGCCCATGTACCTATCAGTTTTAAATAAAGGTGTGATCCATTTATTTTTCTTTATATTTATTTATGTAGTTTTAAATAAATAACAAATTAAACAAATTGGTTTTCGTATTTTAGACTCAGGGATATCTTACCTAGGAGATTGCATATAAGTCCATAGTGCAATCAATCATATCTTATGGTATTTTTATTTAGGGAGCACATTCAAATGTTAAATTAAAAACATAAAAAAATGGATATTAAATAGTATAATGTAAAACGAGTGTTACAAACGAAGTTACATTAACCCTTATTGTGATACCGAGTTATTTTGCCGCACGACCGCGGCAATATACGAGTATCACTATAAGTTATTGTAAAACGTGTTTTTCATTTCGAACATAATTTATCACTAGTAATACCTCAAGAGGTTAAATTATTTCTGGATTTTTTTTGAGCTTATGAATATTTTAAAAATTATCCCGAGTCGAAAACGAGGAATAATTTTCTAAAAATATTCATGAGCAAGATAAAATTTCAGGATTTAATTTAAACTTGCGCGGTATTTGGTAAGAAATTTCCACATCAATACAATCATTTTAAGATTATATTTTTTGACTTTTATGTCAACAAATTTACGATTTAAGCCTGATTTATAGATTGCCTTTCTTCATTCCTTTCTCCCGTAAAAGATGAACGAAAACCGTTTTCCTGTTTATAAATTTCCGTACGGGAATCTACATATCCCTGCTTAAAATACCCCATAGAGACCCTGTTCAAACCGATAGATATTTGTATCGGAATGTATGGTGTTTCTATAGGGTGTATCGGTATGTATAGGACCCCTAGTTGGGATTTATGGTTGTTCTATAGGGATATCCACCCTTGATTTATTTGCTATTGGTTTCAATGGGGAAAATACACATAAATGTAGAAATCAGTTTTTCCCCCATAGGACCCTATAGGTTTTAATAAAATTTTGTCAAATGTCTTATGGTTGTTCTATAGGGATATTCCTATATATCCTTCATTGAGTTATTTGCTATCGGTCTCAATAGGGAAAATGTAAAAGTTATGGTGTGCCTATAGGTAATTTCCTATACATTTTCTATCGGGCCGTATCCGGAAAAAACCATGGACAAATGCACATATTGAATCCGGTAGCGCCCGATAGATTATTTTATATAGGTCTCTATGGGGTATTTTAAGAAGGGATAAACAGCACCACAATCCACACAACAAGGTCTGTTCTATCTCATGCTAAATATACTAAAAATCACTGCAACACTGCACAGAGTTTAACGGCGGCCATTTTTGTTGTTTACAATTCTTGTGCTTTGGGTTTATGCTGTTTAATAATTGTTTTAAACCTTGTGTTTCTTACAGAGGCACTTGTAAGCCTCAAATAAGGCCTTTAAGTGCTAAGGACAACCATTTTACTCCTCTTTTATAATAAATATACCTTATTCTATCAGGGCTGTGAAATGACAATTTAAAGGTTAATTTGTGGGTTATAATTTAACCTTAAAATTGACATTTGACAGTTTTATGACAGTCCTGATAAAATAAAGTTTATTTTTTACAATAGAGGAGTAAAAGGGTTGTTCTTAGCACTATAAGGATTAAAGAAGACTTAAGCCTAAATTATAGATTGCCTTCCTTCCTTCCTCCCGTAGTCGTGCCCGTACGATTTGTGCGTCTTGTAAAAAGTCAATTTATAGATTTCCGTGTAAAATTCCGTAACCATGCGCGATGACACCTAAAATGGTTGACATTTATTTTTGTTTATATTTTGCGTTTTACCCTTTGTGTGTAAATATGAAAGATAATCATTTATATATTAGTGCAGTGATCACAATTTTAATTGCCCAGGCAGCTTGTTGTATACTGCCCAACTATCGAGAAAGGTAGTAACTGCTAGACAAGAAATTTGTGGGAAATTAGCATAAACTACATTTTTATAAAAAGCAGTAGGTATTTAACTGATTTATTTAACTTAAAAGATAGTTTACTGCATTTCTTTGTTGAATTAAGATACAAAATGTCCATAGCTTTATCATAGCACAAGAAAACGCATTTGTAGTTACTGCCTTTCTTCATAGTAGGGCAGTATAATGAAAAAAACATCGAACAAGACGTTGGACCGGGAAACTACGGGGTTTTACAAAGCAACGTTTCTAAAAATGAAAGACATTGATCATAAACAATATCTAAATATCCTATTTAGATACACAAATTATTTAATAAACTGAACACCCACCTTAAATAATACTAAACAATCATGTATTTTAAATATTTTGTGTCTACGCGCTGTCACCCTACAGCGCATGTCCATAACAAGCACTGTGATTGGTCATGTCAAAGACCTTTACGGTAAAAGATAAAACTTAAAAATTTCTACGGGAGGAAGGAACGCCGTCCTTACGATACGGAAATCTATAACTGGCACTACGATTTAAATAAACATTTTTGACGTAATTGTCACCATTAACATTGCCCGTTATTAATTTTAATTAAACTTAACAATTATTGATACTTTAAAATATTAAAATAACTTCAAAATATGATTTTGTTAAGAAAATATTTTATTCTTTGATTTTTGTTATTACTATAATTGCAAAATATTATCACAAAGTATTAAAAATTCCTACACGGGAAATGTTAATGGTGACAATTACGTAATGTTTATCTTCTACGGGAGGAAGGAAGGAAGGCAATCTATAATTCAGGCTTTACTATGAGAAACACAACGTTTAAAACGATTAATAATCTGTATAAACAGCACAAACCCAAAGCACAAAAATTGTAAACCGTTAAACTGTGCAGTGATCTTGTGTTTTTTAGGACGAGATAGAACAGACCTTGTTGTGTGGATTGTGAACAGCACTACGGTTTTCGTATTGTTCATCTTTTACGGAAGGAAGGTAGAAAGGAAGGAAGGCAATCTATAAATCGGGATTTAATCCGCTTTTGGTAACCTCAAGCGAAAAAAAATTGTACAAAAATACATGTATTGGCATGGTGACCTGTCAAAAAACCCATTTTATTTGGTTAAAAAGTACTGGGGGGCCGAGTATGGCGCAGTGGGTTGAGCTACAGAGCTGTAAGCAATCTGCGTCTAACGGTACCGGGTTCGATTCCCGGTCAAAGCCTTGGGTGTTGTAGTTGTTTATTAAACAAAAATTAATATCATGAGCTGGCTAAATAGTCTTAAAAAGACTAAAAGTCAATAAAAAAAAGTACTGGTGTGGAATTTTCTATTAAATTACCTATACGATTTCTACCATTTGTAGTTACACTTAAATGCAATTTTAGGTCTCTGCATAGTATACTTTTTAATTTTACGTAATTTTGAATTACATTTGGTATAAAAAATAGTTTTTAATTTTTAAAGGGCTTCTAAACGATTTGTGATGAACAGTTATAGTTTACTCCGCAGTTTCGGCACCAATGTATTCTTAGCCTATAAATTGTTTATTTTTACTTATTGTAGTTGCACGGAAAACCCTTTTAAGACTTAACTACAATAATTGGTAGAAAGTTGCTTTTTTGCGATTTTATTTCATTTTTTATGTGTAAACTTTATAATATATTATAATATATTATGTCGCGCATAACCAGCGAACATCATAGGGGGCAGTTTTCATCGTAATTGAAGAAGGAAGTTGTTGTATCATATTTTGACAGTAAAAAACAGAATATTACTTTTAAGTTACTCAAAATTGAAAGTACTCAATGGAAAAAAGGTAAATACAAGTGTGTCTAAATATTAAATATATTTTATTAGCTATAGACTTTTAATTTATTTGATTCCAAATTTTTGGCCTTTAAGAAAAAAGGAGGTGGCAAAAGTATACAGAAAACATGTTAACTATATAAACTGCGCACCACTCAATGTGTCGCGACCTAAAATTTCGTCCTTTTTCAAAACGGCATAACTTTTTTGTTTCTTGAACGATTTTATTTTGGTTTGTGATGTCTGCTATCCCCATTCTCTGGCAATTCATGCTATAGATATAAAGCTCACGGTTCTTTAAGTAAATTTACTACAGGGTGATATGTAAAACAGTGAAAAATTGCAATAACTTCATCCAAGCCCCGTTTGTAAAATAAATATTTTTTTCTCGTTTTTACTTTGAAATAATGAAGTATTATGTCTTACCTTGAAACGTTTTTCATATTTTTCGAATTGGAATCTTAGCAACAAAAATATGATTTTTTTTTTCAATTGAGTACATTTGATGCTTTTTTGTAGGAAATACACTCAGCCTTTTTAAGAACAAAAAGATAAGATGGTGAAAGATTGTTCCTTGAATAATTCTGAACAAGCGACAAACAACAAACTTCCATTATTTTCAGAAGAACCTAAGCAAAGACCACTTTTTCAAAATGTCATTTTGGTGAAAATTTTCGAAAACTAAACCTGAACCGATATTTACGTTCGTGACATGTTTGCTTTATAAATTTGACCTCCTGATGTGATTCAGTTGTCAAATTTAAGTTTTAGACAAAACCAAAATCACCAAGAATTAAAATTCTAAAACAATTCTCCAAAATTTGTTTGTTCATTTTTGAAAATTTTATGCGAAGATATTATCATAATAAAAACTGCAACATTCAACAGAAAAATGTAACAAATAATAAAAATAATAACTTTGAATATTTCGTTGGCCCTCCCCTAACCCGTAATAATTCATTAACCCTCCTGGGCATTCCCTAGACCAAGTTCCTTAGAAATTCCTGGGGTATGGCTTCCCATTCTTCCTGAATCGAATTTACCAATTTATCGTAAATATCGGTTCAGGTTTAGTTTTCGAAAATTTTCACCAAAATGTCATTTTGAAGAAGTGGAGAAACACAAAAATATGACAGTTTTAAACCATAATTTTGCAATTATAACAACAAATAAACCATTTATGTTTTTTACTTTTTTACTTTTTATGTTGTTTTAAGTGTTTAATGGTACTTTTATTTGTTATAAAGTAGTAATTTGTTAATTAAAATACAACCTTTTATTTTTACTGTATTGGCACCGCTGAATTCACGGCCTACTGTTATTTATTTAT